CCACAGAGGCCTCTGGAAATGGTCTTTGACACAGGGTGACATAATCCAACTTTGTGGGATCAGAGGTTTGAAGAAAAGCAGTGAAATGCTAGCCCATGGTGGCCACTCTCCAGGTTGGGAAAACCTGAACTCACCAACCCCAGAAGCTTCCTGCCCAGAGTGTCCCTAGGGATGTGGCCCACCTGGGACCCAGGCCTGATGCCTTCCCCTGGCTGCTCTGAGTAAAGGAAGCCAAGGTGTCCCTAGAGATTTGAAGAGTGTCCCCAAGCCAGACATCTCCTCCTGGCAACTCTGAGGAAAGGGAACCTCATCTGTCCCTAGAGACATGGCCCAGAGGGTCCCCAGGCCAGGCATTTCCCTCAGGCTGCTCTGAAGTAAGGAACCCAGGGAGTCCCTAGAGAGGTAGCCAAGAGGGTCCCCAGGCCTGGCTTCTCCCCATGCTGCTGTGAGGAGTGGGAACTCTGAGGTGTCCCTAGAGACACATCCCACTAGGTTCCCAAGGCCTGGCTTCTTCCCCAGGCTGCCCTGAGGAGAGGGAACCTCGGGTTTCCCTAGAGATATAGCCCACCAGGGTGCCGAGGCCTGGCCTTTCTCCTCAGACTGCTCTGATGAGAGGGAACCCTGGGTGCCATAGAAACGTCACCTACCATGTCCCCAGGCCTGGCATCCCCCCAGGCTGTTCTGTGGAGAGCAACCCTGGTGGCCCTGGAGACTTGTCCCACCAGGGTGCCCAGGCCTGGCATCTCTCCCAGGCTGCTCTGGGAGGGATCTCTGGGGTGCACCTCAGGAGGAGGCCCAGGAGAGTTTCCCGCTCTTGCATCTCCTGGGGCCGCTCTGAGGATTGGGTTCTCTGTCCTCCCTGTGGAATGACCCACGGTATCCAGCAGGAAGGGTTCCTCTGCTCAGCTCTGAGGAGAAAGCTCCCTCTTCAGCCTGAGGGCCAGACAGCATCCAAGGTGGGGGCCAGGCCCCTCTCTCAGCCCCCCACTATGCTACTCACCTGAAGCTTGGCTGGGAGTAGAGATGCCCCCTGGGAGGGGAGACACCCTGCTGGTAGAGGAGACACCTCCTCTAGGGGAATCACCCCCCTCTAGGGAAGCCAACCCCTGGGAGGGAAGTTGCCCTGCCGGCAGGGGAGATGCTTGCCCCCACCAACCCAGAAAACCTCCTAGGGAAGAGAGACACCCTGCTAGGAGGGGAGACACCCCTGGGAGTGGAGACACCCTGCTGGGAGGGGAGACCCCCTGCTGGGAGGGGAGACCCCCTGCTGGGAGGGCAGAGGCCCCCACTCTAGGGGGCCACCTCCCTGGGATGGGAGACACCTTGCTAGGAGGGGAGAAGCTCCTGCTGGGAGGGGAGCATCCTGGGCTTCCTGGGGACCCTGCTTCTTCATCCACCCCAGGAGTTACTGGGTGAAATGTGTTCCCACTGCTGTCACTAGGCCTGGCTGTGCTGTCTGTGTCAGGAGCAGTGAAATCTCTAGAGACCTGAAAGGGGAGTCCAGGAGCCCCCTCCCTGCACCCCAGCCTGTCCCCCACCAGGTCAGGCCTCCTGTGGCCAGGGTCCAGGCAGCCACAGTGAGCCCTTCTTCACTCCTGTGCCCACAGGGCAGATTCCAGAAAGGGGCCACCACAGAGGCCTCCTATAAGTGCAGTCTTTGAGTCAGTATGACATAATCCCACTTTAGGAACAGGGATGTGAAGAAAAGCAGTTAAATCCCAGCTAATATTGTCCACTCCCCAGGTTGGGAAAAATCTGAACTCAGACCAAGCTTCAGCACCTTTTGGAAACTGTAGGCTTCAACAGCCCCCTGCCCTGGGGCATTCTTGATAATTTTTATCCTCCCTAAACAGCTCTATCCTTGGATGTTTCTGGGAGCTGCAGGTTATACATTCATTTAGAATTCCCAGGGATTCTGGACAGTGTAATTGGTGTTCTGCCCACCCAGCCCTTGCCATGGTGGACCATGGGAGCTGGGTGCTAAGTGCTTGTCCAGGCACAGTGGAGAATCCTGGCAATGTATCCTGGTGCTCTGCCCACAAAACACTTGCCATGGTGGACCATGGAAGCTCTGTGCCATATACTGGCTTAGGCACCCTGCAGGACTTTGGCAATGTAGCCTGGTGCTCTGCCCACACAGCCCCTTCCATGGTGGACCATGGGGGCTGGGGGCCATGCACTGGCCCACGCACCCTGGAGGACTCTGGCAATGTAGCCTGGTGTTCTGCCCACACAGCCCTTGCCATGCAGGACCATGGGAGCTCTGTACTGCCCAGGAACCATGGAGGATACTGGTAATTCAGTCTGGTGTTTTGCCCATGTAGCCCTCACCCCAGAAGCCTATGGGGGCTGCAATAGCACATATTCCCCAGGATTTGGGGTATTTGCAGTCCAGTTTCCACAGTGAAGTCTTCACTGCAGAGGTCTTTGTGAGCTGCAGACTACCAGGCACCAGGCACCCCTAGGGTTTCTGCTGAATGTAATCCAGTATTTTGTCTGCACACCCCTGTTGGGAGGGCCACAGGAGCTGCAGACCCCATGCTTTCCCAGGTGAAAAACTATGCCCCTATGGATGAAAACACTTTGAAACTCCACTCAGGAGCTCATATCCTTTGTCTCCAGGTCCCATGGGCCCTGGACATAGCCAGGTAACCTCTATCCTGCAGTTCCATATCTGGCATATCTGGGGCACATGGCATTGTGATGTTCTCTCCAAAGAACTTGTGCAGCTCCACTCATATGTTGGTTGCAGGCCAGGTAGCCTCTCTCTTGGCTTGTCTCCGCTCAGTTCCTCAACCTTTGTTTGGCAGATGTTCCATGATACTGTCATCTCTCATTCTCAGGGATTCCCCACTATATCTTCAGCTCTCTTCTCATTTCTTCATGCATCACCCTCTCCCACAACTTCCACATCCCAGCTTTACTCACACTTTTCTGGCCAAACTGCAAGGTGTTCAAATCTTTCTGCTCTGCTTTCTGATCCTGATTATCACAGTAAACTTGAATAAATGCTTCCAACAATATTCATGTCACTGCCCGAATTCTGTGCTGCCTCTGCCAGACTAATTAATCCATTACCTTGAAATTCAGCCTCACAGATAGACTCAAGCACAGACAAAATGTAGACAGCTTCTTAGCTAGAATATAATAAAAATGGCCTCTCCACAGGGCAGATATTACATAAGCTTTGGATGGTATTGTATAGACGTCATATAAGTTTTAAAGGACAAAAGGAGCAATTATATTAGTTTTAGATGTTATACTATGGATATTATGTTAATACTGCATTCCAGCTATTACAGCAGTCTTAGGGGCCACAGTGTGGATATTATATTAATATCAAAGGCCACAATTAAGCTGTTTTATTAGTTTTAGATGGTACAGTATAGATATTTCATTATTGCTATGGCCCTGGAACAGTTATTATACCAGATTAAGATGTTATACTATGCATTTTACATTGATAATAAAGGGCATGGGGAAGATATTACATTACTTTTAGATGCTCTAAGTATGAATATTACATCAGTAATAAAGGTGATGGGCAGCTCTTATATTAGTTCCAGATGGTATACTATTGATATCATAATAATATTAAAGGCTATAGTACATGAATTACATTAGTTTGATGTAATGTATGAATATTACATTAAGGTAAAGACCATAGGACACACTTCTATCATTTTTTAGATGCTAAAGTATGAATATTACATTAACTCTAAAGGCCATAGGCATCTATTTCATTAGTTTAAGGTGCTACATTATGGATATTACATTAGTATTAAAGGCCATAGTGCAGTTTTTATATGAGCTTGAAATGCTATAGCATGGATATCATTTTACTTCAGCATAAAAGAGGTTTCAGACATCTATTATATTAGTTTTAGATGCCATGGCATGAATATTGGGTTAGTGAAAAATGTCACATGGAAGGTATTATATTAAAATTAGATGGTACAATATGATATTAAAGGCCACAGGACATATATTAGTTTAATATGCTATAGTATGGAAACATTAATATTAAAGACCACAGGGTACATTTTGATTTATATTAGAGTCTATGGTACCAATATTACCTTAACATTAAAGCCCACAGAGTGGCTATTCTACTTTATTTAGATGCTATATTATGATATTATGTTAATATAAATTGCCACAGGGGAAATATTACATTATTTCAGATACTATAGTATTAAGATCTCATTAATTTGAAAGGCCAAAGGGCAGTTATTTATGTAATTTTAGATGCCATACTATGGGCATTGTATTAGTATTAAATGTCACAGTGCAGCTATAGTATTAGTTTAGATGCTATTTACGAACATCATTTTAGCATAAAAGTCAACATTGAAGCAATTACATTGTATTAATACATAGTATTAAAACCACAAAGCAGTTATTATATTAGCTTTACATGCATTCCCTGCATGCCCTGGCTCTGCATTCCCCAACTTGAGGCTTAGCATTTCCCACCAATAACAGCCACTGATCCTCACCAGACTTGCATGCCCTGGCTCTGCACTCCCCAATTTGAGGCTGAGCACTGTCCATCAGTGACAGCCACCTGATCCTCACCAGACCTGCATACCCTGGCTCTGCACTCTCCACCTTGAGGCTGAGCACTGCCCATTAGTGACAACCACCTGGCCCTCAACAGACCTGCATGCCCTGGGTCTGCACTACCCACCCACAGCCCTGAGGCTGAGTGTGGCCCACTGCTGCCAGCCAGATGGCTCTCACTAGATCTGGCTCTGCACTCCTTACCCAGCACCTTGAGGCTGAGTGTTGCTCATCTCTGACAGCCACTTCGGAGCCTCCACTGTGCCAGGCTCTGCCAATTCATCTTACTAATTAAATCCTTTTCACCCTCTGAGCAGGGAAGTGATTTGCCTAGTCATCTAAGCTTTTTTCTGAAGTCTGAGCTCTTTAAAAGAATTAAATGTCTTACATTGAGATAATTGCAGATGCACACAGAGTCAGAAATGGTGTAGAGAGACTCACATGCCCCACACCTGTTCCTTCATCATAAGCCCACCATCAGGCAGGTTATTGGCCTTGGGCATGTCCACAGGGTTCATGCTATAGCCCATGATGACGCCCAATGAAGTTAGAGGTTTTCTAGCTGGTACCAGTTCTGCTGGAATGGTGATCTTGGGGACTGGGCCCAAATGTAGCTTGTCCATGAGTTGTATAAGACAAGACTGTCCCTCAGACCCCTCTAGAAGTGAGGGACAAGGGAGAAGCCCATGAATCCCAGATCAGCTGCAGAGTTTGACCTCCTTCTGAAGGTCAGACTTGGACAGGAGCAGCTTTTGACCTTGGCAGAAGGCCTGCAAGAAGGCACCTCATTGCCCTGAATGAATGTCACCACTGGCAGGAGTAGCTGGTAGGAGTGTTGGTGGGGCTAATGGGCCTGGTGGGTTGGTAGTTGTTTAAAAATATTAATAAGCTAGACGAATTTGGTGAGAGTGATAAAAAATAAAAGTAAGCAAATGAAAGAAACAGAATGAAAGTGAGGATATCATTATAGATACATGGTTTTTTGTTTGTTTGTTTTGTTTTGTTTGCAATGCTGGGGATTGAGCCCAGGGACCTATTTATGCTAAGGAAATACTCAACACTGAGCTTAGTCCTCAGCCTAAAGTTATTTTTTAAATTAAGGAATTTTATAACAATAAATTTGGAAACTTACACTCATAAAAACAACACAACTGTAAGATTGTCACAGGCATGTGAGGGAATTTACTACTGGTTTTGAAACCATAGCAAAACTGTGTAACCCCACCTGTAAACTGTATAACTGTATAACCCACCTCCAGTCCAGCCCCTGAACTGCTCTACACATATTAGCATCTCTCATCACCCCCTCTCTCTTTCTCTCTCTGTCTCTGGAATCTCCTGCACTCATAGCTCCAGTGAGCACCGCCCCTTTACACTAAATCCCTTGCTCCTCTACTCATAGCTCGTACATTCATGAATTCTTTTCTGCAATGTGACAAGAGTCTGGGAGGTCTGAAGACAGTCCTCCCCTGCCTCTGGAGAGACCTTCCTGTATCCACTTCCAATGATGAGATGAGTGGAGTGAGAAGTCTGGGGGAGGGTCTGCATCCTTGTAACTATAGGCCATTAAAGCCTAGCTACTGCAAATCACCTTCCAAAAGCAAACACAGCACTCTTTGCCGGGCACTGTGACACATGCTTGCAATCCCAAGTTCATCTGGACTGCATACTGAGAATCTCTTTACAAGCTGGCTTAGTATTAGTTACCAGACAAGTTCTCTGAACAAGAGGAAAACTATTTCTATACTATAATAATTTCACAAATAAATGCTTTTAGGTTCACTGAGATTGTTATATGATACATGTTTTGTTAACACTTCAAAACAGCTTAGTGGTATTCTGGTAGCATTTTAGAGGAGAAACCTTAAAAAGAATTCATAGTCTTGTAACCAGTTCTCCTGTAACAACCACAGAAGCAATCTAGATGCTCCAAAGTGTTTCTTACCAGCTTGCTTTTCTTCATATAAATCTCTAACATGAGTAAGATGAAAATCACTAGCCACACGCATGCCTGAAAAGACAGCAATGAATGTTGACTCCTGGAGCAAGAACCTGCAGCCTGTGCCTGCTCCTCCTGCCCAGGAGGTCCAGCTCCTCTCTGAGGTCTGCTCCAGGAGGTCAGCCTCTGGCCTGCTCTGCACTGGCAGAACATCACTTTTCAGGCAGTCACTGTCCCACAGATGTTTCCCTAGAAGTTTCCTCAGCAAAGCTACAAACAGATTTGATCGGTGGTCAGCTAGCTCCCCTTGTGTTCTGTTTGATGGAGATATTTCTATTTCTTCTTTGGCTTTGACAGCAGTTTGGGCAAGTGTTAATCTGACAGAAATAACAGGCACATTCCTTTCTGTCCTATGGAATGTTTTTCACCTCCTTCCTTTTTCTTCTTAAAAGAAGAAAAATCTAAAATCCTGTGGGTTAATTTGAACATTCTCAGGTTTTAATGGGGTACTTGGGTTAGCTGTGGAAGGAGCCTCACTGTGCCCTTTTACTAACTCAGGGTGAATGGTTGGCACATGGGCAAATTCTGTGGCTTCACCCACTCTATCCCATCACACTGACCTTGAGGGGTTTATGCACAGATAGACCAGGGACGGGACCTGGTAACTAGGGGCCACATACAATCTTCTTCTTTCCTCTTTGTGCAAAGAGCAAGGAAAGGAGGAAGAAGTACATTTTCAAATTAGTTTGTGTAAACACACTATTATTCTGTAGTCAGTTGATTCACCTGCAAACCCAAGTTGAGTAAACAAAGCAATTCACTCACTCACTCTGAGTATCATTCAGTACCACTGGGAAGGGCCATGCGGAGATGCTGTAAGATGGCAGAGCTCCACCGAGTTTTCATCAGGACCAATTTTGTTATTAACGGTGTGGAGCACTGAAATGTTCAACAGGCCATTAAAGCCTAGCTACTGCAAACCACCTTCCAAAAGCAAACACAGCTCTCCTTGCCAGGCACTGTGACACATGCTTGCAATCCCAGAAACTGAGGCAACAGGATCGCAAATTTGAGGCCAGCTTCACCAACTTGGCAAGAGCCTGTCTTGAAATAAAAATAAAAAGTGCTAAGGATGTAGCTCCATGGTAGAGCACCCCTGGGATCTATCCCCAGTACCAAGAAAAGAGAGAGAGGACACTCCCGTCTGTATACAAAACTTCCCTTAGGCAAAGAAGATGTTGTCAGGTAGAAATCTGGAGGGCCAAGCAACCCAGGGCCACACAGACTTCCTTACTCTTAATGGAAAGGATGGTGACACCAGAAGAAGACTAAAAGGAGGAGGCCTGCATGCCAACCTATCCTGGCACTTCCCAGGCACCTGACTTCATGAAAGCTTCCCGAGACCAGACTTGGGTATCTCTAAAATGAGGATGATGGACGTCTGCTACACAGGAGCATGCAGCAGAGGCCCCATCTGCTGCTCTCCCCTTCCGTGTGCCATGCATGTGTTCATACACAGTCAGTGCATGTGCTAAGTGATATGGGGATGGTGCTGTTGGATCCGCTGGCCAAGTCTTCCTCTTTCACCCACAGCCAAGAAGTGGGTCAAGGGTTTCTTCTCAGACCAGCTATGCCCCCAAGTTGTGGGCTCCTCTGTTTTCTTACCATGAAATGGAACAGGAAATGGGATTTTAGAATGAGGAATCCGAAACTCTTCACTAATAATACACAAAATGCCCCTAAATCTTCATCAAAGTGAGAACTTTTTAAAGAAAGCAGTTTCTTGTCTCTTCAAGCCATTCTCACTCAGAAAGTTAGATTCCTGAGAACCCAAGAAAGCACAATTCTTTTAGTCAGGGTGGAACGTATCTTTGGGGTCTTAAGTCATGGCTAAACTTTACTCCCAGTATTCTTTTTTTTTTTTTTTTCAAAAAAAAGGTTGAATTTATTATTTCACAAAAACATTATGTAAATCAAAATAAAGAGAATAATCAAGTTGTTTTGAAGGACCTCAAGGCCCCAGGCCCAACATTAGGAAAACTAACCCCTGTGCCCTGAAGCTGCAAGATGTTCCCTTACACAACCCCCATGTCAAAACCTCACCAGCTGCATGTAGCACTTCAAGTCTCGCACAATGTTACCACAAGATGTTCCATATAGATAACCCCGGAGGGGCCAAACTTGAGCAAACAGGGTAAAAACAGGAACTAAAAGGACAGGATGCAATTTTATGGTTTTTCCGAGAACATAAAGTGGAAAAACAAGTTTACCCCCCAGGTGACCTAACGACTGGATTCAGAGGAACCAATAGAATAACTGTTACCGTGCTAAGCTAAAAACTAACCCCCTGCTCCCTATAAAAGATCTGTGCCCTAGAGCCCGGTGTGCCAGTTCACCGAAGCTCCGGCTGAGGTTTCGCTGAGCACCCGCAGGCGCCTATGTAGCAATAAATTGCCTCTTGCTTTTGCAGCCAGTGTCTCGTGTGCTTTTCCTTGGACAGGGAGTCAGAGGGTCTTTCAGTTTCATGGACTGGAAGGTGACTTATTAATTCCCTTTCATTTCCAAACCTCATCAAGCAGTCACTACATTTATGAGGCAAGTCAGCCGAATGCTTGAAATCTAGATGAATTTTAAGATCTTCAATCTGTCCTGTTGAATATTCGCAATATTGACATAAATAAATCCCTTCAGATAGATGTGAATTTAAATGCTTGCAATATTCTAGCATACTTGAAAAGCCTTTCCCACAGTCATCACAAACATGAGGAAATATTTTAGTATGTTCAATAGCAACATGCCTGTTAACATTTGTATGAAGTCTACTCCGAAAACCACATACTTGACACACAAAGAAGTTCTTACATTTGTCAAGGGTAATTTTGCTTAAGAGACTGTATTGTCCATGTTCTCCATTGTTATACTTATCGATTAGTTCTATTAATTTACACGCATGCTCATTTACAACATGGCTATGCAAGTCTTCTGGATCATTTGTTTCATGTTCACAGAACTGACACAAGTACTGTTCATCACAGCTGTGCTCCTGGAAATGCAGGTAGAGTTCGCTGCTTGAGGAGAACTGCACGTCACACTGCTCACACCAATACAGGTGATCACTAAAGTGGGTGTCTGCAATGTGCTGGCTGAGGTTCTCAAAAATTACTGCCCTGTAATCGCAGTATTTACAAATGTAGGGATCTTCTTCGTGTAGTTTGTCATGTTCAATCAGAAGCATATTGGTAGAGAAGCTTTCCTTACATACTCGACACACATTTGAATCGGTACGTTTATGCTTCAGGATCATATGCTGTTTTAAATCAGAAAAATATTTACTATTGAATTCACAAAGTTCACATTTATAGAGGCCACTGCTATTAGCTCTCAGTAAAGGCCATTTCTGCTGAGCAGTCACATTCAAAGCTTGGCTCTTGTCAAGAATTTTACAAAGCTTAGCTGGTGGTTCTTCATCAGTTTGGTCTTGGAGGCTCTCAGAGGAATTGTTTTCTGTCTCTATGTCATAATCCTCAGAAATGGAATGCACTTCTACAGCAATGGGGACATCTTCAGCGGTGTGAACTTCTATAGGACTCTCCTCTTGAGTTTGCTGGTTGATTGATTCGGGTGAATCACACTCTTCATCACAAATTTCTACATCAGCAGATTTTTCTGCAGAAAAGGCAGTGTGGTCTATAATTCTAAGCACAGGACTGGGAACCAGATAGTTCTGATTTCTGTTTCTGGCCTTGATTCCATCTGCAAATTTTGGCAAGTCATTTGATGTCTCGGTATCAGAATCATCATCTTTGTTGTCAAAATATTTTAAGTCTGGCTGTCTCATAGAGCAGACACTGTAACAACGATCAGAAAAAATCCCATTGAATCCATCTGCAATTCTGCTTATTCCAGAGGAATCTGAATAACGAGAAGGGTGTAAAGTCTTCCTTTTTCTTTTTTTAGGATACTCATTCATATCTTTTCAATTTGGTATAATTCTTAATATTTCAGTGAGGAAAAATGAATTACAAAGTTTCCACAGGTGGTAAAAAAAATACCTCAATTTTACTGATGAAGAAACATACTCAGTGAAAGTCAAGTCAAGTAAGAAATGGCAAAACCAGAGATGCAAATACATGTCTTCTGATTCCTGGACATTGAATAACTCTAACTGTACGTGGGTACATCTTCATGGCTAAGCACTGCCACCACCAAGTTACATCTTGTTTCCAGTTCTTTCTCGGCCAACAATTGTAAGGAGAGGAAGACCGTCACCTAAAAAAAACGTTTCCCCGGGCCCCAGCCGGCCCAGGCACAGATGAGGTGGCTGCGGCCGAGCGCAGGCAGAGAGGGCCGCAGGCGGCGGGCGACGCCGCTCAGGCCCTCGCGCTCCAGGGCGCTCTGTCAGGACCGGCCCTCTCCCTCCCGCGCCCCAAGCCCAGCCTGCTAGGCCCCAGGCCCAGGCTGCGCGCCACTCCCAGTATTCTTAAGCTCTCAGTTTACTGACCAAATGCACCATGAACTGCCTTTTCAAATGGATCTCAGGGACCTTCCTCTTAGTGGACACGTCCACAGTGCCTAGCCCAGGTCATCAGTCTCAGGGCCAGGTGTCAGGCAAAGACAGAGCTGATGCACAACCCGGGGACTGTGCAGAGCTGAAACCCCTTGCCCACACCCTTAAGCTCAGGAGTGGGGGGCTCTGTTACCCACAGCCTGCTTTCCTTTCTTGCTCACCTCCCTCACAGACCCCCTGCCCCAGTGTCACCTTCTCTCTCCCCTTTGTCTCTTGCTCTGCTCGTCTGCCATGTAGATTTACAAGGCATTCTTCCCTCTTTTACTGAGACTTTCTCCTACACAAGGAAGAAAAGAGCAAACAGCCTAGGATTCTGGTACCCTCTGTAATGAGCTGGTGAGGTGGGGCTAGCTCAGGAAAGGCCACGTCCCTTCTCAGGGTGTTGATAGGAACTCTCTATGACACTGTGGATGAACAGAAAGTTTGTTAGAGACAGTTGCTTAGGACATGGAGGTACCCTGGAGCAATCTCTGTGGAAGAAGGCCACAGGTCAGAGGTAGGCAGCTCAGTTCCAGTGTGACGTTGAGGGGAATTTAATCTAGGAACTGAAGGAATAGGGTCAGGAGAAGGAGACAGCGGAAGGTTTGGTCAAGCCACTCTCACTCCCTGGGTAAGCTGGGGTTCATCTGGAGTTTCCACTTTTTCAAAGCTGAAAGCTGTCCTGTCCCCCCCACCAGAGGCCCTCACTGCAGTCAGCACCAAGGGACAGGGAGACCAAATCTTCCTCTCTTTGCTTTGTTTTGGAAATTACAGCAACGACCTTCAGCTGAAGACAGTGTGGTCATTGGAAACAGATGCTGCATGTGGCCTAAGGTGGCATTACTAGTGTCCTCACTGGAAGGGCAGGGATGCTGCACACGGCCTGGGGTGACACCAACTGTGTCATTGCTGGCTGCACATGACCTGAGGTAACACCGTTTGTGTCATCGCTGCATTCAAGCCTCTGAGTGCTGCTTCTGGGGACCCATGATCTTCTAAAGGCACAGGAGAGTCTGGCTCCATCCAGAGCTGCTTGTGGCTTTCAGCTACTGGTTCTCGGTGACATGCCTGATCAGTGATGACCTGAAAGGCAGATTCTTGACACACAGAGCCTGCACCCCACAGCTACACACAAGTAAAGCCTCTCTTTGAACACTTACTGGTTGTGAATTTGACAAATAGTAGTGGCTTCCTACACATGTTATATTGGTTGTCAGAGAAGTAAGCTAATACCTCTAAATGTAGTTTCTTTACTTCCACGAACAGCTTAACGAGCTGAGGAGAGCCCTTGGATCCCTATCAGAGATCTGGTGAAAATGGCCTTTAAAGTTGCTTTGTCATCACTGAAAACAAGGTTACTAAGAATTAAAGTCCCTTACAGGCTTTTTGGGATATTCACTCCCATCTTCCCCTCTGCACTACCTGTTCTACTGCTCAAGTTTTCATTGCTAGGGAAAATCCCAAACTTCTTTCCCATTATTCTTTTACATCTCCTTCCTCATTCTCAGATCCATAGGAGCTGCTCTCAGCCCTGCCTTACTGTCTTCCCCCTCCCTACCCAGGCCCACAGAAAAGTCTTAACTGACTTTCTCCAAAAATCTTCACCATGGCTGATTTTAGGACTTTCAGCAAAAGAGTCCCTACAGAAGAGTTCAGTGTAGATAAACTTCCTATTTTTGTGTTGCCCTGTTTTACTTGGCCACTGTCTGGGAAAAATCAGCACTCCAGGTGCTGGACACCCCTTTACTAGTTTTTCACAAAATATGTGAACAAGGCCTCTGGCCTTGAGCAGGGGCTTCACAGTGATGACTACATTTCTAAGATAAGGGTGTTACCAACTGGGCTCCGTGGTAACAGCTGGCAGCGGGAGGAAAGAAAGGGGGAAAAAAGCTCTCCCTTTCCCAGGTGTCCTTGAAGGGTTAACTTGCCCAGAACAGAAAAAAAAAAAAACCTGCTTCTTATGAACTTCTGCAGATTGTGAACTTCTGAGCCTCTCGCCTTACATGCTGGGTGCAAAATTCTGAAACTATCTAAACTTGGGGTTCAGGGGATTAATTGATTACACCAGAAGCTGTGCCCTCTGAATCTGGCTGCAACCAAATAAAACTTTTCCCCTATCTTCACTGCTATCTTAGGTGCCTTGCCTTGTCCATCCCTACAACAGTATAATTCTATATACTTAAACATTGTTTATGTTTTTATAAAATGGTAAACAGATGTGATTGTGTACTGCAAATAACAAAATATCTCTTATTAAAATGGAATAATTTGCCTAAATTCAGAAATTTACAAGGATTGTTTCAAAATGTAAATAAAGAAGGAGTTAACAGATGGGAAAGAGAAATTAGAAGGTTCTCTATGTGATTAAGTAAATAAGAGGATTTAAGCAAGTGATAAAGAAGGTCTGTGTAAGTTGATTATATATGTAAGTTTTTTGAGCAAGTAATCTTGAAGGAATTAAGGATTCTACCACTATGGTTAAACAACAACTGTTATTTTGCACTATTGTAATATGTTATTTCTTTAAGAGCTAAACTTGATTAATATAAAAACATCAATGTAATTATGGTTCTATTACTCTTCTTTCTATATTAAATGTGTTCATATTTTCCAGGTATATAAGTCATTAAGATAAAAGCTTAAAAAACAGTATATCAAGCTGATGTTCTCCAAAAGATTGCATGGTAGTTTTAGGCTTATAAAAATAATATATTAGAAATTTTATATCATTTAATGTTCTATAACTAGACCTGTTATCAATAAGATTAAAATAAAGTTCTATACACTGGGTACAATTTAAATATAATATCATATTGTGTTAGCTAGTATTCATGTGACCTCAAACAGCAATATATAAACTTTATAAAATGATATTTAAGAAACAAAGATCAACTTCAATACTAGAACACTTTACCTAAGATTTATAAAGAGCCCTGCCTTACCTGAGATAAGGCTGTGCCTCCCATCTTACTACATGTAAGAATGACTCCAAAGTAGGCCAGACTTCAGCTAAAGCCCAGTACTTGTAATTTAAGGTGAAACTGACTTTGTTGGATGTTTATGATCAAGACTTAAAGTTCAATTAAAATGGCCAAGAAAACCAATATTTGGCTCTGGCCCTCTGAGTCAGTCTGAATCCAGGGAACAGGGAACTTCTCTAAAGAGCTTTGCAACTCTGGGCCACATAACCTCCTGATCAGGGAGATTATTGAGACCACTGGAGAATGAAAAGCCAATCAGTGCACTTGCAGTGAATAGGAGGGTCACTGGAGACAGGAGATATCCCTGATGCTTTCAAGGGAAGCCACATGGTCAAGCAAGAACTGAACCTATCCTAGAGCAAATGGCACTAGCAGAACTAACTGGGAACTTGGCTGACTCTTAACAATAGTTAGAAACAAACTCAATTTTGACCAGTTTGATCTTAAACACCTACCAAAAACAGTTAAGCCAAAACACAGTCATTCCTGGGAGTAAAAGGACAAGAACAGCTAGAAAAGAGGAAACAGCAACTAGGCCAACAGTCTCCATGGGGAATGTTCAGTCAAGTATGGCCTTGGCTCCTCCCCCTCACAGGACCCCTATTAGTCCTCTTTATATTTCTCCTAATAGGACCATGTCTATTAAATTGCCTACAAAAGTTCCTGCAAGATCAAATTCACCAAACAGCCAGTCAATCAACTACCAGCCCCTGATGCCCAAGACAGAGACCAACTCCTCTAGCTCCAGAGACTCTGCCCCCACCTAAAACCCTCCCTAACCCCTTTTCCAGATTTTACAACCACTCTTTCACTTCCTAGGAATGAGAACTACTCTCTGGCAGGTCCACTCTGCTTGTTCAGTCTGCTCTATAGTATCCCCACAAGGAAGCATCAAACCTAAACTCCCCACACATCAGATGAGGAGCCACCAGCCAAAGACTGGTAGATCAACTTCACTCACATGCCTGGGCACAAAAAGCTTTGCTACCTACTTATTTTGGTTGATACTTTTTCAGGTTGGATAGAAGTCGTCCCTACATCCAGGGAAAATGCTGACACCATCGCCTCCATCCTCATTGAGGAGATCATTCCCAGGTTCAGACTTCCCACCTCCACCCAGTCAGACAATGGTCCAGCCCACACTTCTCAGGGAACATGCAGACCAGTGCCTTCCTGCGCTATTCATTGTCTCAATCCCAGCACAACCAGGAACTGAATCAGACTCTCCTCAACTGGGTGACTTAGTCTTACTTCAGGAACTGCATTCTCAATCATTGGAACCTCTCTGGACAGGACCCCATACAGTCACACTTACTATCCCAATGGTTACCAAGATTTTAGAAACTCTCCCTGGTACTATGTCTCCCAACTTAAAAAGGCACCTGTTCCAAATGTCCAGTCCTGGAATTCCACCACGCCCACCAAACTCAAAATTTCTCACCAACCCTCTTCTTCTTTTTCTAATCATTATTCTCTCTCAAGTTTCTATCCCAACCACAGATGGCGCTTTTACATTCAAGTGACATGGCACCTGGATGACACCACCCACTCTCAGTCTATGGGTCAAGGTGATTGCTCTTCCACTGGCTGCAATCAGCCTGACACCCTTAACATTACTGGATTCAACCAAGCCACCTCCAAGACTTTCTAGAGTCCCTATGATAGGACCAGTGGCTGATACCAAAGATCTTCTCCACTCAGAAAAGGTTTGATGCCATTGATGACTTGTGGCTCAAAGGAACTTTTATGGACTTTTTAACCCCTACCAAAGTAATTGTCTATAGCCACTGAGTGTTATTTCT